AATCTTTGGCTATGTCTTCGGCTACTCAAATATTTTACGTTTTTGATACTAAATTAACTTCTGAAGTGTAATTTTTGATTGTTTTTATATTTTTCAATATATTTATTTTGTTTGTACAAAATAAATAAATAATTTTTAACGATACAATAGCCTTTGTTAGGCTTAACATCGACAAAAATTCAACGCAAAGTGACATGCAATGGAGAAAAATGTCAAGATGGGATAAATTAATATATTTTTTCGTACTTAATCGGTTATCTGAAACATTGATCTTCTGAACAACCCCATTCCCCAATTGATTCGGATAATCGACGCTCTACTGTATATATATATATACACTATATAAATAAACATAGAAATTTTTGACGATAAAGTCATACAAAGATATTAAAACGTAATTTGAAAAGAATTGTAACAAGCTTATTTATCTTTATATTTATTTTATTTATGTGTAATTATATATATAAAAGAATTATTATATTTAAATTTCAATCACATGTAGAATTAAAATTTTATATTTCTTCATTTCTACAGAAAATTTTACTTGGAATTTTTATATAATATGAAAATGTTTGTCTTTAATTGAAAATAATTATTTTACAGGAAAATTTTGGGGTCAGATGTTGAAAATGAAGCATCAGGTAATAAGATATAAAATAAATTATATAGATACAGAGTGAGTCAAAAGTCCCTTGAATCCTTTTCGTATCAAGAATACTTAAAATATATTAAATTTGTTAATGTAGTTACATAGGAAATAATGTGTAGAGCAGGGCTTCTTAAACTTTTTTTTATTTACAACCCCATTTATGATTGTGATTTTCTTTGTGACCCAAAAAATATAAAATAAAGATATACAAATTTGCAAAAACAATAATGGTGTACTACCACAGTTCACTCTTGTGTTACAATGGAACAGAGACAACTGAATACACTGAAAGCAACAATACTACACTAGTTCACACTACAGTGTTGCTAAATCGTTGTCTTGCTGCACCAGAAGTGACACAAAGTGCAGTTCTCGAAACCTATGACACAAAGTGTGCCATTTTCAAACTCTCACAAATTATTTCCAATATTTTGCATTAAAATTTCACGACCCCAAGATTTTGCTAAGCGACCCCAAATGAGGTCGCAACCCATAGTTTAAGAAGACCTGGTGTAGAGAATTGTATGGACCTTTTTGTTGACTTTGAAAAAAGATTACATAAAATAAAGTCACTTCTCAAAAATTTAAAGCTCAAATTACACAGTCCAAATGTATTTATTTGAATCCAGAGAATAGTTTTACACTAACTAAATGGTGCTCTTTATCATTGGAACTTTTAAGTTACCTCTGTTCATAAGTACAACATAAGTAACCTGGAAATGATTTTTATGTATAAACATAAGTCCAATAGTTATTTATTAAAGCCAAATGATTGCCAGATTAGATCAGGCTATATTACTGATATTAGTAATTAGTATGGTTATATCCAAATTAATAGTTTTGGATGCAACAATCAGACAGAATCTGGGTAACGTATTGGCAACGCATCCACATGGTAAGTGGAAATTGCGGGTTCAAGTCCTGCCCCAGACTGATTCTTTTCTTCCAGAATCTTATAAATTAATTAACAAATATTAATTATAATTGTTAAATTTAATAAGAGATTGTGCCTAATGCCTACCTCTAGGCCAAATTACTTAGTATTTAATTAATTATTAGTAGCAGTAATATAGCTTGATCTAGTCTGGTAATCACTTGATTTTTAGGTAACTACATAAACAAAGGTAATATATTTTTAGGACTTTTGGAATAAAAAGGGTTTAAGGAACTTTCAATTAACCCTGTGTATTTATTTTGTTCAAACTGATGATAATTAAATTATTTAATTATGAGTGTTATAAAAAAAATTAATTTTTGATATTTGCAGATGCTGAAGATAGTGATAGTGAAAGTGATAAGAGTGATAACGAGTAAATTTATATATTAATATAAAAATTTTCTAAAATTATTTTATACCTTATTAATTTCTATTTATTCCTTTATTATATAATTTATTTTTAGATCAAAAGTAGGAGAATTAATAGCAGATATCTTTGGAGAGAGTGATGAAGATGAAGAATTTGAAGTATGTAAATAATTTTATATGAAATTAATTTATTTATTATAAGGCACATTTTTTTACTTAATAAAATTAAAAGCTTTTTAAGAAGCATATAATATATAATTGACCATCAGCATCTGTGGGGATTGGTTCCAGGACCTCTGAGGATATCAAAATCCACAGAGGTCCTGGAACCAATGTTCAGTTTTCTTATATAAAATAGCATAGTATTTGCAAGTAATCTACACACAGCTTCCTGTATACTTTAAATTATCTGAAGATTGCTTATAATATCTAATACTACTAATGTTAGTTCTGTATAAATAGTTATGATGTTGTATTGTGAAGGGAATAATAAGTCTGTACAAATATAACAATAAAAAAAGTCTGTGTATATTCAATAGACCTAGTTATATAGTACACATCAGCAACAATATAACATTTTCTTTCTTTCAACATTTACAGATTGCCTTTGTTTAATGACCTGAAAGAGAAAATACATACAATAAAACATGTGTGTATTTTAAATATTCCATGCTTTATTTTTTGAAATTTTCTGGAATGTTTTTTTTTCTGAATATTTTTGATCAAAAGTTGATTGAACTCATAATCAAAAATATTCAGAAAAACTATGATTGAAACTATGGATGTGAAATCTGCAGATATTGAGAGTAAATATAATTTAAACAAACAATTATATATTATCTAAAGTTCTTAATATTTCATGTTCATTATAACTGTAAGATAGTGGTTCTCAAACCATGTGCTGTGGCATCCAGGAAAACTTCCAAAAAATAGCCAGAGATTAGATTAGTCATTATTTAATTACTTGTATTAGTGATGCACTGACATCATTGGGCTGCAATTTGAAAAAAATTGTAGATTTATAAATTTCCACTGTTGTCTGTTCTTTTGTCTGTTTTTCCTTAATCTCAAGAATGGAATTAGATAGATGAAATGCAAGACTAGATATAGAAACCTTAGGTGCAGGAGTCCCCGATTGACTATATATTCAATTCAACGTGTTGTTTCAATTCCCCTGAAAGCAGTTAATAGATGATTGGCATGACTCTATTGTTAAAGGAAAAGTATGATGTACAGGGGCAAGATACTACTAATTTGAGGTGGAGAGCATTTGTTGCCCATATGTATTGAAAAATTGCAGCCCAGCATTGTGATGATCTCACAATAAATAATTGCTTGTTCGTGTAGTGCAGTTTTTTGTATGCCTGTCTAAATTGTTTATCTTGAGATTTGTCTCATCAGAACTTTCTTAATAAATCCTTTTACAAGCCTTTTTTTCAGAATTATGTTATGTTCTTTTTCTATTAATAGAAGGAAAAGTAGTTCTTTACAGAAATTTTTACTTCTGTTTTGTGGTTAAGGATTTAAGATTTGTAGTCAATGCATGTTAGGCATATGAAAATAATTGCACTGTATATATTTGTTATGATATAATTATATTATTTATTCTTTGCCTAAGGACTACTATTTTTATTTGTTTACATCATTTAATTATAATATCAACACACCTTTTTTTTTCTCTCTTTTTGCTGTTTAATTAAATTTTATTTCATTACAAAATAGAGGTTTTTATTTTGTTTTAAATATGTAAGATGATGTTTTTCTAAAACTTCCTTATAATAAATAAAATGTATTTATGATATAGAACTTTTTATAAAACTTATAATTCTCATTTATTTCTTTTTTTTTATGTAAGAAATTTTAAGGAATTGATATTGTTATCACAGAAAAAGCTATGGCTTAATGTCTTCCAGCAACTGGTTTCAATGTCAGAAATTGATGGGATAAATTAATATATTTTTTCGTACATAATCGGTTATCCGAAATATCGATTTACCGAACAGCGCGTTCCCAATTGATTCGGATAATCGACGCTCTACTGTATATGAATCATTAATGATCGCGTAGTGTTTTTCTTATGTATTTAACTCTAAATTCTTAAGTTCATACAATACAGTTCTCATACACACGATATAATTTTCTATTTACAGATGTATGACGATTTCATTTCCATTGAGAAAATATTTTCTGCAAATTTGTCTCCAGAATTTAAGTTCAAAGTAAATATATGTTTAAAAAATCTTTTACAATTTCTTTTTATCAAGAGATAAATAAGAGGTTTCTACATTATAGATAATCAACTTTATGAAGAGATTTGGAAAAGTCCCATTAGGAATATCAATGGGTGGCTTTTTCTATATCAAGAAACACTTCGTCATAAGGGTAGGTATAAAATAATAATTTGGCTGCAATGTAAATAATTACAGACCTATAAGTTCCTATACGTGTGTCGTGCTGTGAATGGCTCACGTATTTGTAAAATCTGAGTGACTCGTACAACATGGAACTCATATAACACGGAATTATTAACTGTGTTATAGGGGGGTCTACTTGTATAAACCTCTGATCCGAACCGAAAGTCAGTTAATTTTGTTTTTAATTAAAAGATTTATTTTTACTTTCAGGTGATGTATGGAATATATTCTTCGTTCTCTTCATTGATTGAAGTGAGTGGAGTTCTGCGAAAAGAAAGAAATTGTGTTCTAATTCTTAAAAACAATACTTACGAATAGAACATACCTAATTATTATTTCAGTATTTTTCGTATTAGAAACGATCTTCACCTTGATAATTTCAATCAGCAATGCTTAATATTACTCTTCAATTATGTAGATAAAAAGCAAATAAATATATCATACTACACTGTTTTTGTGTCATTTTCGAAAATTACACGAAATTATTCAGACGAAACTTAAAAAATGATGAAAATTTTCTCTTAAAATTCAAATTCAAATCGCTTTAGATTCGGTAACGAGACATAGATAGGGGTTTATGCATTACATCTTACAAATAACATTATATATAGTCACACCTTGCTAGCAGAAACCAATTGTTATAATAATTCGGACAAAATTACGAGAGGAAACTTTAAATTCCCGCGACCACCAGACTACTTTATGGGGGGGTATGAGGAAAGCATAAGGGCAGGAGGTCCAGATTTAACTATATACGAACTTCCTGCCTGAAACAGAAGTCGCGTGATTTCAACTCAAAAATTTTCTCCAGGAGGAAGATGGATGACCGTCAAAACTTATTAGGAAAAGTATGATGTACAGGGGCAAGACACTACTAGAATCGAAAGTATATATTTTAAAAATATAATTAATTAAAAATTTCAGCCCGACATTGTGACCACGTCATCACAATCTTTGTTCGTTATGTTATTTGTTCCATTTGCTTATTTGTTTCCAATTTCGCAGTTAGTTTACATCATCCCAATGCAAGGTCTCATTTTTTTGGCTGCTAAATTTTATACAAAAAATTAATAAATTAATGAAGAATGTTTACAAAACTTATTCGAGATCTGTCACATGTATTTATAAATAAAAATATTATTACAATATATTTAATAATTTTTCGTCAGTTCCATTTCGAGGGCTTTTCAAAATGGAACCGACGAGGAACTGTTAAATATACCTTCGGCCCTGTGCCCGTGTTTTCTCCGTTGGCCATTATATACAGAATTTAACATCACATAAGAATCATTTGAGAAATGTGTTTTTTGTATGGGTGGATGATAGTTTGTGTGTTCATCTATTTTGATCTACTCGATAAAAGAATTTGCAATTTTCTTTCTTTATTTATTTTTTCTTGTATAAAACGCATCTCTACTTCAAAATTAATCTTTTTGCCATTTTATGATAATTAATAACATAAAAATTTTTAAAAATAAAAACTCATAACAGATGGCGCCACAAACAATTTTATTTATTATGTTTAATAATATAAAAGTTATTACGTTGCACACAACATTGACAAAAATAATTTATTTTAAAGCTTTTATTGTTATTTTAGTGTCGAAAAGTACAAAACGTAGTTTTACATATTATAAAAAATTAAAATAATTTCGTTTAAAAATAAAACTAATTCTTAACTTTCCCGTAGAATTAATATTGCACCTCTGCTACTCTGCCACACCTGAACTATTGCATCTGTGTCAAATCTCTCTAGAAAGAAAGTAAATTTGACAAATACAAAAATCTGTATGGTGAATTTCAAAGCTTCATCTACAACACCATCTGAGAAAGGTTTAAATAATTTAGATTCCGAATGGGAAATATGAGAAACGAATACAAAAGTGGAACGTAGTCATAAGTATCGGTAGCGTAAATAGTCCTGTATGGTGGGAGCGGTGGCGCATTCCTGTAATCCAGCTTCTGGGAGGCCGGAACTTAGAGGACAACTTGAGGACAGGAAATGCCTTCGCGATGTACTACGACAAGAGGACGTCCACACGAAGGATGACGTTGTTTCGGTGGTCGAAGAGAACATTCGAGACCATTGCAATCCCTTTCACACCGCGAAATAACTGAAATCGAGTTGAGACTTACGTAAAAGATGGGAAAAGAAGTTATCATACACGAGGCGAAAGCCTCCGCATCGTTGAGTAGTGGAGCGATCTGTATGTTCCGATGCAGTTGGACATTGTTTTGCATTTTTGTTGCAAAAAATTTACTATTTACAGTATTTTCGTGGAATGTCACAGTAGTTTTTGTAAAAAATAAATAACTGCAACATTCTTGAATCTCATAAAAAAAAAAGACCGATTTGATAATAAATCTTCCTGACAAAGTAATTATTTTTAGTAAATTAGTTGTTTGAAAACGTTGACATCTCGAGCACCGCAACAGATTATCACGAATGATTAAATGTTGTTGAAAAGTAACTAAGTTACATTTCTGTACGTGATGAATATTTTTGTTACCTGCTTATATAAGACGATTGAAGATAAATAAATCATAATGAAAAGGAAAGTTTTATTTTCTTGTCATCACCTCGTTATTAGTTAACATCCAGAACTTGTGGTGGCTTTTAACCGTAATAAATCGGTCGCAAGTGGTTTTTAACTTTAGCAGCTAATTTTTTTCATCGTGTAGAGTACATCAAGTACACTTCATACAAGTACAAGTACAGTACATACATCAAGTTCAGTTCACACATAAGTACAAGTCATGTACAGTACCTACTAGTACATGTCGTTTGACCTTTAGCCGTTTTAAGCGAAACAAGAGAACAAAACAAGTGTTCTTTGAGCCTAACATATACATAACATTCAGGAAATTAAAATTTTGTGTAACGTTATTTATTTCGAAATATTGCATAATTTGTTTTCAATAACATTACTGTACTTCTCTATTTTATTGTTCATTTAGAACTGTTAGTATTATAATTAATAGAATCTATTACTATATTTACATCTAAAAAAATACTATAATATGTTTTTAATATTTTGTAAAATAACACAGAACACAGCAATAAAGAAAAGTTATGTTAAATAATTTAATTCATTATTTATTTAAAATGTAAACACAATTTGTGATGTAATTATAAATTTATAAATAAATAACATTTAATAATTGAAGTTTGGAATTATTTATCAGTATTATCTTGTGATTCAGCAATTATTCAACAATGCAGAGGACATTGGTACTGCAATAATGAAAACAGTCGACTTTCCATGTCGAAAGCCTTCCATATTGTTTAATTAATGATTATATATTAGGGTTATTTTATAGTAACCATTAAGATGTAATGAAATTCAAATAGAAAATAAAGTATTAGGCTAACTATTAATGTTATTTGCATCTTTTTATTAACGATGTTCCGAAAACCGATCGGCAAGAGAAGGATATTTGTCGGCCATATTTTTCCACCCTTCAGTTTGCTGAATAGAATTCAAATAATGAGTGATAAACTCAGTTGCTGCCTCTTCTAACTGCTTGGCATTATAAAGATCAGCCAAGACAAGAATGTTGCAGGCAGTTTCTACTTGCAGTTTGTGGCAAAATTGCTGTTCGCATAATGCTTTTAATCGTTCCAATGCATATTTGTCGGCAACGGCCAGTAGACTGGTAGTCATTTCTTTTAACTTGGGTACCGTATCAGTATAAATGAATCGGAGCATTTCTTCGACAACATTTGGATCCACGTCTTCGATTAAGATTACATTTTCGTTATTTTCCTTCATGTCGTGCTCGAACATTGCAGAAAAAACTGGAGAACTCGCTGCTAAAATTGCTTTGTGGGCATAACATTCTCTGTTATCGGATTGCGATGGATGGCCTACGCTCAAAATTACGTCGCTAAACTTTGGATTATTGAACAGAGTTTCTATTCTATGTGAAAGACGAAATTCTGGTACCATAACAGTTTCAAAACGTTTCTGACCGGACTCAGTTACCCAATGATCTGCTATGCGTATCTCACACCTAAAAGTTATTCTATCGAAACGAAACGAATCGTTATAACTAAATGGGTAAAATTCAATATAATCATTGCTTACTCCTGAAAAAAATTTACACGGGCCTTTTTTAACTCCACCGGATAATTCTCCTTTATCTTTTACCACGTAGATTGTATACGCTGCTATAACATAATACTTATCACTGGAAACTAAATTTAAAAACAAATTTAATATTTTATCTCTCGATGGAAAATCGCATTTAAAATATAACTTCCATTTTATTTTAGTATTCTCATCTGGAGAAAATATGGAGCTTTCGAAAATATTCTCGGCCATAGCGAAGGAAAGATTATTAATTGTCCATAGGTAGGTGACGTCCATGAATTTTAAATTTGTGCAATTCCAATGGCCTCGCTCGGGCGCATGCATTTTAGCGTGAGCATACGACATTTTTAGAGATTTTCTGTCGAAAATTTTATAATTTAGGACTTGAATATTTAAAAAATCTGTCCGGAAATTTCTTCTGCTAATCGTTAAACAAAAATATTAACTCTTCGATTTATAAAAAGATTTAAAACGAGAAGAGGAAAATTCATACTCACGTCAGCGCAGAAAGTTCGATTTAGATAAACGAATTATGCTGAAAATATAAAGAATAAGGGCGTAAGTTACGTCACATGTACCGTATGTTATTGTAAAGTATTGGCATTCTTTACAATAAACTAATGGCTATTTGCCAGCGGGTAAGTTCTAGGTCTACAAAGTTACTATACCTTTAATGTAATATTCCAACGGAAATACCAATGAATATATTCAATAGTTGATATATTTGAGTTTTTTCATGTGTTATTTCAAAACCTAAATAATGAAATGACGGATTTTATTTACTTATTCAAATATTACTTTTATCTATGTTAGATTTCCACACCCATTATCGGTGATAAGAAAGTCCACGGCGCCGCCATGGAGCGCAGATAATAACCAAGCTAGATAATAAAAAAATCGAACTAGAAAGATTAAACAACTTAAAATTCGAATGTAAAATGGAGGGAAAAACGAATAAAAAAAGCGAACGTGGACCTAAATAACAACTTCGAAGGGACTTCGGCTGGCCGGGAGAAGAAGTATGTTCCGATAATTCAGGGTCTGCGAAGCCAAAACTAAAGTCCTATGGCTGGAGGAGGGGCAGGGTGACGTTGATATGGTGGCCAACGAACAGCCCGGAGTCACGGGATCTCCTAAAAAAACCTTTTTTTTTTCTTTTTAGGACATTCAGTGCAAGAGTCCAAGACTGAATAGACGGCGGTCGGTACGTTTTCAAAATAATTGGACCTAGTTTTTTTTATCGTTAATTTTAATACACATAAATATTTTATTTATTTATTTTACATGAACGGTAAATCATTTTACGCTTTTCTGCTTCGATGGATGGCGCGATCGACGGATGATAGGATTCTGAATCAGTATACACACGCGAGAGATCGTAGAACTCCAACTCTAGATCACGATGAGTTTGGCCGATGCTGCTCTACGTGGTGCAATTCAAACTTTGAATGAGACCGTTGTGATCTTATCAGGTGTGTAGAGCATATCCTTAGGAGCAAAAAAGTCAAAGTAACCTTACCTCTACAAGCGACCCTTCGCGAGATACAGCTGCCCGAAATCAGGTCTAAGTTTGTATTGCGTTTTTAACTATTTACCCCACGCAATTACATAGGCTTTCAGTAGCCAGCCCACTTAACTTTTCCTGGAGTATTTGATGATATAGTTTTAGAAAGTGTGGAGGTTGCCCCTACCATGGTGCTGGATACCAGAGAACTCCGAAACTCGCGACTACACGCGGTCAATGCGAGCGATCACAAGCCTTGAGACGCAAATTTAAGACATTTCAAAAGACCATCTTTTAAAAAGCATGTCGTCCTTGATGCCGCTTTCATCTTTCTGGATTTTCTCTCATGCTACTAATTTCATTGATTCACGTTGTTGTTATATGCTTTCAAGTCAAAGCCGAGTCATATCAACCCCGTGAATAGCGGCATAAATACTTTAAAATCATTTGTTAGGTGGCATATTTTTCGCAGGCTTTTATCAGTTTCTACTAGTGATGTAACGAATATTCGGTTACTATTCGGTATTCGGCCTATTCGGCCTGTTTTTCACTATTCGGCCGAATACCGAATACCTAAAAACAGGAGTAATAAATAACAAAAACACAGTAAATTAATCATTTTGTTATTTAGATTTAATGTTATCGAGTTAGTGTTGTTTGTTTATATTTATTTCTTGTAACATGCACAAAATAAAAAAGAAAATAATATTAGTCACTTGTATTCACAATTTATAATTACAAAGATCAGCACACGTACATTACACACCTATTCGTTCGAGAATCGTCGCACATCTGAGGGTCTAATCGTGCCTATCCTTCTTTTTAAGCGCTCGTCTTTGCTCTTCCCTTTCTCTTACCGCTCTAATCCATGTATGCCTGTGCATACATTATAATACGCGCTCACAATACTTTCGATTCGTCACTTTTCCGTCGTAGAGTTCCCATTTTACAATTACGTGACTCAGCCTGGTGATAACGGAGAAAAGAGACAGATAGGACGTCGGTATAAGTCACAGTTATGATTTCACAGATTCGAGACAGCTTGATAGCCCGAATGGCCCCAGGCTTTCGCCCGTGCACGCTAAGTGACTTTCATTACAAGCATTTAGCTTTCCGAAGTTTATGACAACAATTGTTTGGCATTGACGG